AGTTTAAGTTTCACTTTCGATTGCATGATATAGCGCAGCGCAACACCTTCGTCACACATGTTCCCACCTGTTTGTACCATTTTGAAAAAAAATTGTTTTTGGAGTTAGGTGGTCCGCGAGTGTTTGATAAAGTTTGAGAAACACTGCTATAGACAAATGCTTTTCATATCAGGGCGTCTTTCAACATACTACACTACAACCAGGGTTCGGAGGGTTGCTTTGTAAATGTAATTAGTTCCTGAATACATGGCTCTGAAAGTCATCCGAATGCAGTATTCAGATTACTTTTAGAATACTTTTGGAATACTTTCTTTCCCCATAACAGATGGGTATGTTTTGGTGCACAGGAGACACTTATGTTACTGTTTTAATGGCTTATGAAGAACTCAAACACGACATCTTGGTTTCATTCTGGACAGCTCCCTCTCATCTGCACCCCACATAAAAAACATCACCCGGACTGCATTCTTTGTACTGTCTTAAAACCTTTCCTTGGAATATGTTATGAATTATAAGGTGTCCTTCGGTGCTTTGAAAGACGCCCCTAAATAGAATGAATTATCATTATTATTATTATATTTATTATTATTATTATTATTATCTGAAACGATGTAATCACTTTTAAAACGTGTTCCAGTCACTTGCCCCATGCATTCAGGAGCAGGCCATTCACTTTGATTTGATCCCGTTATGAAATGTCATCATTTCGACAATAAATAAATGCTACATAAACGTTATCTTGCACATTTTATCTAACCATCTCCGTTTCTAACTTTCAATTTATTTTAAAAGAGAGCTCTCTCTCTCATCTGCGTGCGGGGGCGGGGCCTCACAGACACGCTGCATCTCTCTCTCTCTTTCTCTCTCTCGCTCAGACACGCTGCATCTCTCTCTCTTGCTCTCGCTCAGACACGCTGCATCTCTCTCTCTCTCTCTCGCTCAGACACGCTGCATCTCTCTCTCTCTCTCTCGCTCAGACACGCTGCATCTCTCTCTCTCTCTCGCTCAGACACGCTGCATCTCTCTCTCTCTCGCTCAGACACGCTGCATCTCTCTCTCTTGCTCTCAGACACGCTGCATCTCTCTCTCTCTCTCTCACAGACAGCTGTATCTCTCTCTCTCTCTCTGTATCTCTCTCTCTCTCTCTCTCTCTCTCACAGACACACAGATCTGCCAGTAATGAATATTACATTTTGTGAGGAAACTTTTCCACCAATAATTCCAAAATGTATTCACTTCAGGTTCACGAAAGTAACTATAATCAGATTACTTGTATGTATGTAACGTGAGCTGAATACAGTTACTTGATTGTTGTATTCTGAAACGCCGTTACAACCCAACCATAACTATAACTATATGACTATTTCAACTGGGCAAGACCCTTCTCCCCAAATCGCTCCTGTGGGGGTAAAGCGTCTAATAAGTGACATGTAATGTAAAACTATGTAAACGTACCACTCACCACTTTTTAAGGTGATTGTAAAAACACATACAACTTCATTCTTATAACAATGAGGTTCATTTGAAGTATCATTAATTCAGGTTTCCTGTGAAAACTCTGCATATGATGGTCATTTCTGGAGGACAGTCGTTATGTCAGCATATTAATTAGACGACGAGCAGTTTGGCACCTTGTACACGGGCGCTATATAAATGCAAATCCATGATCATCTATAATCCTTCTCCTGTACAGTACAAACTGCTGCGAGCACAATTTACACAAAAGACATGAAGTTACGGAGGAGACATTTTATTTATCAGCATTTTGTTTATTCCTTTCGGCAGACAAATCATTTTTTTCTCAGTTCTTGAGCCGGGGTTTAATCGCTCGCAAAATGTTCCACTCAGGCGGTAAAAATAATGCACGACGCTGATAAGACCCCATCTTTTTTCTGCTGCGTATTCATTCTCAGGCCTTTACCGAGGTTTGTATCATGATGTTTGTAAAATGCATTTCATGTGTAGCTGCTTCAACGTCATTTATTTGTGTTCTTACAAAAACTACTTCTACAGGACACTCGCTCTCACACACTGTCGTCAGTAACCCCTAACAACAACCATCTATCCCCAGTATTCAAAATGAATGATACAACTAAAAAGCCCAAACCTAATGTATTCTCTGCTTGGAAAGAATAAATAAAACGACCTGATAGCGGTGTGAGTAATTAAAGCCTTAGTGTCCACACCCTTTCTCTTAAAAAAACAGTTAACAGTGTAAAAACGTGTTGTGTATATTTCAACAGGCAGGGACGACACGCCTCTTGCGGATACACTCCCAGATCCAGCTGGGCGTCACTTTGTGAGCCGAGCTGTCGTCGGGGGCGCCCAGCGTGTGCGTTGCCATGGAGACTTCGAAGTCGGCCACCAGGTCTCCGTCGTACGCCACGAAGTATCGCCTCAGTTTCTCGAAGTCCTGCACCGAGGAGGGCAGGAAGAGCTTCACGCCGCTGAAGATGTCCAGCAGAGTCTGAGGGAAACACTCTGGAGTTATTACATCGTTCTCACGGGGAAAAATATCAATCTGTGAAAATCAAACAACGTCTCACATTATTGCTTAATGCATTTGACCTGATTGTCACATGTTGTTATTTATCGGTCGAGTGAATTAAAATACTTTTCTTTGATCTTTGTAAATACAGCTTAGTATTCAGGGCACTAAATGAGACAGTTTGAGTTTCAATTGTTTAACGCTGACATGAATATAAGTACGTCCGACAGAGCAAGAAACACAAGCTTTTAGGTTTGTTTCATTTCCCAATTAACTTTGATTTGTTCACAGCCTTCCTGATTTTTTGAAAGCTTGTTTATGGTCATACATCTCAAGGTGAAACTGCAGAATGTTAATAGTTTTAAATACGAAAGAAACATTTGAATGTGTCGTCTTATTTGTTGAAAGTCACATGACCAACCTTATCGTTCCTGGGCTTCAGGATTTGAGCCGTTGGTTTGTTTTGTGTTTTCCCGTTACTGTGAACGCTCTCAGTCTTCACAGCTTTCTCCATCTTCTCCATCTTCACCTCCTTCTCCACCTTCACCTGAGGGGAAACAGAACCGTTAGTCCATCAAGATGTCTGCGATAATTAACATCAACACAGTGCTGTGAGTTTCGTACCTTCTTGGCACTGGGAGCGTCGTATCCCGGGGTGCGAGGCTCAGATTTGATCCCCTTTGGTTTGGTGGTCCTGGGGTCTGAGAGAGAGAGAGCGAGAGAGCGAGAGAGAGAGAGCGAGAGAGCGAGAGAGAGAGAGAGCATGTGATTAATGAGATATCAGAAATCTGTACATAGGTGGTGGTTCTTTTGTTGTGTGTTTAATGTCGAGTCAGCACATTTCTTCCTGTTTTACTTCCTGTCCAATTAAAGTGTTTCGTACAGGTTTTGTGGAAATAAACGTGAAGTGCATTCAACATTTGATTTGATGACTTCTTTCACCATATTTTTCAACCTACTTTACTGTGACAAACATTTATAGACATACTGAACAACTTGTACTGCGATATACTTGATCATTTTTGTCATACTTCTGTAACAAAACACTTTTTCAACTATTTTTGTGGGTGGTCTTTCTTTTTTTTGACTTACTTTAACATTACTTTTCCCTTTTGCAACATACTATACTTTGACATGTTACTACTTGTACTTGTAATACTATATACTTGATTTTTTACATTACTTTGGACATACTGTACTATCACTTCTTTAACAAACTACTAAGACTTTTTTCATATTTTGCAACATACTATACTTTGACATTTTACAAAAGAATATTAGACATACTATACTTCTTGTACTTCTAATATTATCTTTTGACAGACTTTGACTTTTTATATTATTTTTGACTTATCTATGACTTGTTTTACAACACTTTTTTTCTACAAACTCTACTATGACTTTGGGTGGGTGGAGTGCAGTGATGGGGTCGTTACTCCAATAAAGTAATGCATTACTCATTACTTAAAATAAAAGTAATATATTACTTCTTACTCTCTACATAAAGTAACTTGTTACATTACTTGTTGCGTTACCCAGCAACAGCTTGTAGGCCGACATGTGCACACATATTGCAATAAGGAAAACAATTCCTATAAGGTGGTGTGTGCACTCACTGGTCTTCTTGGCTGGAGGGGCTCCATGTGAGGATGAGGAGGGGGAGCTTCCTCCGCTGTCTCCTGAGGATCCCTTCCCGTCGTTAGCAGAGGGTCCGGCCGTCACCTTAAAGTCACAATTCTCCTTTGAGATGCGGAACAGCTCCTGAAGAGAGAAGAAACACGAGCTTCAGACAGGAGGAACACGTTCAAGTCAAAATACTCCGTTCCAGGTAAAAGTCCTGCATTTAAAAGCTCACTTCAGTGAAAGTACAGAATCAGCTAAATGTACTTAAACAATCAGAAGTAAAAGTACTCGTTCTGAAGAGATGGGACTTAGTTTTTGATGTACTATTATATAAATGACACTAATGTGTTTCAGCCTGTGCACTTCGCTCTGCATCAGCAAAACTTTGACCGATAGAATTGCTAACAAAGCACTTATACACGAATAAAGGACTACTCAATAAAGGTTGAGTAGCACTTGAAATGTTTTGGCTCTATGAAACCAGAGGCCTGTACTACGAAGCTGGTTCAACCTAACCTGGATATGTTTGAGTTAGCCGGTTGGTCTAATCCAAAACATACGCGCTCTCGCTAAACGGTACTACGACGCGGGTTAACAAGTGGATCGCTCAAGCCAGCCGTGCCCTATCTAGTTAGGTTCACATGAAAGGGGTGGTATCGAGCATTCGACCAATCACAAACATGAACAAGCGTACTGACAGCGCAGCGTCATACTTCCTGAATGAAAAGTCAACTATAATATTAGACATATGAAGAAGTT